CCCCAAAACCCCAAAACCCCAAAACCCCAGAGTACTATCCAAATATTGAGTTTAGTAAAAACATTAAATTATTAATGATTTAAAAGCACCGATATTTCGAATCTCACCAAATGTTCAAACTGTTTACTGTTCTTAAAATTTTCTGATAAGTAAATTCTTACAAAAAGATCAAGAACTGGGATTTAGATTTGAAAATTATATTGTAGCTCAAAAGCTAGGATATAAATTAGATATTTAAATCAGTTTAAAGTTCTTGACAATTGCATTGTTGCAACAAATTGCTTTCTTTCCGTCTATCTTAGTGTACATTGTAGATGCACGTTTAGGTAAATTCGTGGAAGGAGAACACTTCTTGTAGCTGTACCTCTCTTTCATTTTCTCAAATTCTTCTGCCATTTCTTCATAAATGATATCTGTGCTCATCATGCTAGTTTTCCTCGAAAAATTTTGGGTCTTACAAGACACTACAAAGCAAAGTTCAGAAGGATCCTGATAAAAATAGTAATAAACAGAACAATTTTGAATTTTAACTTACTGTAAAAGCTGTTATTTGGACTTGATTTCATCTTAGAGCTTTCAGTTTTAGCAGGAGTTCAGAAAGAGCTATTTACTACCTTCGTGCTCAACATATCTTTCTTAGATCCTAAAAGTCAGCCTAACTAAAGTACTTTGTTTCTCTGCAGCGGAGTTGTACTTTTTCTGCTTCTTGCTTGCCCCATAAAAATTCCTTTTTGATGAGACCTTTGAGTTAAAATTTCCAAGTTTTTTCCTTTTTAAATTATGCTAAAGAATAATTATAAAATGGCGTACCTGAGCATTATAATGGGACTGGCTTAGTTTTGGGTTGCCCACACTTTTAGTTTTCTATACAGTTATGAGGATTAGTACTTTGATATCTTGAGCAGAGCTTTTGTTGTTATGCCACTTTCGATCTCTTGATGCTTTTACTAAAAGGGAGTTTAGAAACAAACCGAATTTTTGGAAATAAAAGATATTTTTGTATCAGAAATTTCGATTGAGAAAAAGAGACTTAAGAGTTTGTAAAAACTTGGCAATCCCAAATAATAAAACTAGTATAAATCTTGCTTTAAAGCCAACGCTTCTGGATAAAACCTCAACTCAAAGTTTGCCTTGGGAATATTATTTTTGATCACTAAGAAGAAAAACACTACTATTGATTTCAAAGAGTGAAGATATTTACAAAAGTACATCTCTTCTCCCAACATCATACCCATTTATATAAAGTGGGATCACGATTATTCCCAAAATCCAAAAGGAGAGATGTTTGTATATCTAAATAATTTGAATATAAGTCAATCCTTTGCTAATAAGAGTTCTTCTGAAGTTAGTGGCAATTTGGGATGATCAGATTCTCAAAGATCGATCCAAAAATTACAAATAAAAATAAATTTGGAATCGATTCTAACATACCATCTTACCATACAAACTCACACAAAGTGGGAAAGCTAAGAGATGCTGTTAAGCTTATTAAAAAGGACGCCCAGATCAAACGACACAGATCCTACGAAGCTCTGGTGGTATCTACTGAGATCTAAGAATAGAACTCCTAATAATTCACAAAACGTGTTGGTGAACCCCAATTTTTTACACAAGAATAGGATGGAAGAGCTGGAGATCGAATTATGAATTTACCGATCAGAATGAGTCGAATGAGGGAGGGAGAATTAATTATGAATGCTTCCTGTTGGTAAGAAGAGATGCTCGAGATATTTTGCTTTTCTTGATATTTAAGAAAAAGTTCTTATAGAAGTATACGGTATCATTTTATGGGTTTTATGCCTTATCGAATAAACTGAAGTGTTAAAATTAAAACTTACCATAAGTTTAAGGAAAACACAATAAACTGTATAAAAATGTAGACTGAAAGTTGCTAGAATCAATTTTCATTTCAAACAAGTTATAATCTCAACTGTTTAGATTTGATTAGTGGACTGCTTCGTCTCCCTCTTTTAGGCTTATTTCTGTGAAACATCGAATAAATTTTATGAGATTTAATGCCTTGATACTTAAATTATGGAAGAATAACTAAAAATAAGTGCCTCTTATTTAAATCAGTTATGCTTTTTATCTGGGCTTTGTTGATAACCATTTTTAATAATAGAGAAGTAGAAGCTCAGATTACTTAAACGTATATTTAATTCCTGGAGGGTGCAATAAAAGTGGTTCCCAATTTATTCCGACCAATTTATGTGGAAAAAGTGAATCTAATTATTTCCAACCTTAATTAATATGACTGCAAAAGAAAGCCAAATATTCTTTATATCACTCAAACGTTGTCTTCTGGTTGTTTTGTGTACAAAATTTAAAAAAATTCCCAAGAATTAATCAACTTTTAAAATATGTAATTTTTTTTAGGAAAACCAGAAAACAGCTTAACTATGAAGCCAATAGTCTAAGTATTAGGTTATAAGCTTCTGAGACTTTTAAGAAGCATTATCTCTAATAACCATTAAATTTATGAAGAGACAGCAATTTTATGTGACTATTTTGCCAGCTAGTTCTTGATTTTTTTGGTTGCACTTATTTCAGTGCAACTTCAATGATAGAGTATTCAAATATAGTATTCGTCTGAAAGTTTGGAGGAGGTGGTGTGAGGGATAAGAGAGGTTTAGTTGTTTATCTTGGTAGATTTAGTATGGAAACAGGAGATTTGTGCAAGAAAGATTGGTAGTAAAGGAGTAGTTTTGGAGATATTATATTTAGATCTTACCTTGATTTTGGTTGTTAAGGTGAGATTCTGAGTCTATAGGTTGTGGAGATTGCCTTTTATTGGCACAACAACTGTTTTCATGTCCCATGATAGAGGAAATAATATTTCTTTAAATTGTATTATTAAATTCAGTGCTGTAGACTTAATACGGGGTTTTGGGGTTTTGGGGTTTTGGGG